ACCTTCAGTTGTTGGCAATCTATTGCCTGTTTTTTGTATCGTATTGTCTTCAACAGTTAAACATTTTTTAGATTTAATAGTGCTGATTTGACTTAACATCGTAACTCACTCACTCACTATTATATCATAAGTGTTACGTGACACTTTCCGAATCCTACAAGAACTGTTTTATTCTGTATTCCTTTTCGGTAAGACTCGGCTACAACTAGATTCAATTTGTTGTACCATTTTATCACAGAATTTACATACTACCGGGTTCTTTCTCAACATATTTCACCACGTCTTTACAAAGCTGTCATCGTCAAGGCCCGTGGGTGTTCAATTTAATTATTCGGGGAAGTGTAAGTTCCAATCCCCCAGCTGTAAATACGCTGATGGCGTTCAACCTCGCCCAGGTCACGTGCACTCCTTCCGGGGCTATTACCAGCAGGAAATTGATTGAAAGTTTACCAGGAGACAGAGCGCTTGCCTCGTTGATCTTTGCCTAGATGTGATCATCTCATTTAAAATATATTTCAGGCGTAATCTTTGAATACCACCCAATTGTGAACGATGTTTAAAGGTCAAGCTATTTTATTTGTGTCGTCCAAAGCACGTATTCAACAAGAGCAATGCCTCTGTTATGGTTCCCAGTCGGTATCGTTACGTCACTAATTACGAAATCCGAATGGATGGGATGATTAGTTTTAATAATGTTTTGTCATAATGAATAATGATTGTTATCATCTTACCCTGATGGTTTGGGATATCTTTTTTGATAATATTAATTAATCTGTATGATAATATGCACTGGTTCAGAGTTGACTATTAAAAGGCAAATGTGAAGCAGTTGAAATATCAATATTACTATCACAGAAATAAACAAACAAAGCGAAAATATTCAAACTATATCACCACGAATCAAGACGAATAATAGAAAATGAAACTTTTTCATTAACAAATTTGCAAAACTTCTTCCAGGCTCCGGACATGGTTATAATAGATTTCCTAAACATGAGTGTGGCGCCAGACGTGGTCAGGGGCAGCGGGTAGCACTTAAATATATTTCAAACATGATAACCGACTTTGGACTCCCCATTTAGCACGTGAGGTACGTCTTCTTTATGGAATAATTTACAAATCGTTGTGAAAGACATTAGATCATTCATACTAATTAGAATTACACTTTCTTCATTTCAAGAAGTTCTGGTTTTGTGTTAAAATAACACTACCTGCAGGTAAGGTCCAACATTTAAAAACATTTCAATGGATATTAGAAAGTGTTTCTAATATGTTATTAACCTGTGATGATCCTGGTTAGAATTGATCTTCAGCAACCAATGCTTATCGTAGGCGACTAGACGATCCAGTGATCGACATCATGAGCATCGATCTGCGCAATTGGGATACACGGACATGTGTCAACCAAGTCAGTGAGCCTGACCACCCGATCCCGTCAGCCGCCTCTTACGACAAGCATGGTTAGCTGAAGACCATTACTAGCCCGGATCTTCACGGGTCGTCGGTGACTACTGGGATCGGATGGTCAGGATCGCTGCGCTGACTTGGTTGATACATGTCATCGCATACTATTCGCGTAGATCGATGCTCATGAAGTCACTCCCTGGATTCTTTGGTCCAGATTCGATTATTTGCAGACTTGCGTGATATAGCTTGGGACATCGCTTGGTGCGGCGTTATACAACTAACAATTCTAATTCAACTTCGTATGTAACACGAGTTCTGATTGGTCAATGCTATAAATTTCCGACCATTTCCGACCATCAGCATATACGGTCGCAATTTGAAAACCGATTCACCAAAACCTTTGAATGTATCCCTACACTATTGGGGTAACGCTGTGTTTCAGGGCATTGTCATTTGCAGAAACCCTAGGTCAGTTTAACTCCCCTATCACGCTAAAATGGATGGAATTTGTGTGGAAAAAGACAAAACAGTATCATAAATTTAATTGTAAGTTCAAACAACTTAATCGCAACGGGCTGTTGACCAAACACTGTTAGATCATGAAACAAGATTTATGACGTCATTATGGAGCATGACGTCACCTGCTGTGACGTCATTTGACAACAGAACAGATAGTGGCCCGTAGTTGAGGAATCACCGGGCCATTATCATTTGCAGCGGCCCGCTCATATCTGATAACTTTAGAGGGCAGTTTCATGATAATTCCGTCCATTTTAGCTATAACACTATAAGTTATTCATCATTGTCAGATTTAGTCAGTGTGCACATAATAAACGTGTTGATGTTTGAAAGGGAACTACTTTTTCTGGCGATGGTGTAAGTTCAAGGAGTGATATGATTTACCTTTGAACAGAAACACTTTGACCTGGTTTACATAATGAATTTCTTTCACGAAAAAACAGTGTAAAACGAGTTGAATTAGAATGGGGTTAATTTGCGGCTATATAACTACCGGTATACGTCCCCAATTCGTCAAACACAGTACAGTTATCCCCTAAATATATTGTGATATTCTCTGATTTTACATTATTCCTATAGGGGATGCCAGAAATGGTCTTCACACACTTTACCTGTATGGGGAATCGAAACTATGTCGTCGCTCTGACGAGCAAACTCGCCTACAAACTTAGAACACCTGGTGTTATTTCTCATTTGTAGTCAGTGTGCGAAATAGCCACTGGCTTGAAAAAATCCAGGCGGGCCGGTAAATCTCCACAGTCACTGGTCCGACTGGCTAGTGAATTTTCATGGAGTCATTTTGTAAATATATCACTCTCTCCGACTTGTTAAGTTATAATACACTTTTAAATCGTGCAAGATACTGACCTGATAAAATGTTCATCATATTAGCAGCTTAATGATGAAACCCGTGTCCACATTCAAATTTCGGACTAGTAAGTTATTTTGTGGGCTAGTAACTTTCAGGCACAGCTAGCCCGACTGACTAGCAAAATTTGAAAACTATTTCGCACACGGTTTGTAGTGGTCCTTTCCCATAATTTTCATATAATTGTGCTTTTCGGTTCCTGTGCATTCTGTTTCTGCTGATATTGGATATTCTGTCGTATTGGCGCTTTGAGCAGATCTAAACTGTTTCCGTTTAGGGGTCAATGTGTAGGATGTCATGAATGTAGTTCAGGTTGGAGAGAGAGTGTTCATGACCTACAACAAAACACAAGTCCTTCTGAAACTGAATGAGTTTATTTCAAATTTCAAGATTCCTGTTGCACAGTCAACTACTGTATAACTGACACAAGTCCTATAACAATCGTTACCAAGACCAGATACTGATCCGTGGGGGGTTGAGGAAAGACTTCCGAGCCCGCCGTCACACAAACTGCCGTCAAATGAAAATAATACACTTGTAAATTGGTCCCAAGACTGAAAAACTTAGGTTCGAGGCCTGGAAACAATCGCCGAAACAATGCAAGTCTAAGATAAAAAAGACAAACATGATACCCGTATCGGACACATCACCATGAAGTGATGGTTTCAATTGTTGTTGGTTTCAATTTCAGCCACCTTAGAGCATAAGTGTAGGATTTCATTTCATTGGTCCACACCACACCACACTGTCAGCTGAGGAGTTTACGTTACTGCAGCTGTAGCGTCCCCCGGATCGTCAAAACTGGGCACCCATCAATTTGGAAATATAAAACACTTACCAACTGAAGTGAATATCGCATTTTTATTCTAATCGACAATACTGGCCTTCTGAGATGTGAATCGCAACGTCCGTTTGACACCCGGTTCATATTACTGGTTCAGTACTGAACACCGTATGTTTGGGTTTATTGACACCCTCTCTTCGTATTAAACACAAAAGGCTCTCTCTGTTCACACTCATCGTTGTTTGGACATATCAACAGTAAACGTTAATGTCACTTCTAACATTTAGCAATCTTGATGACTGTTCCTTTATTTTAATCTATGAGTATATTAAGCATTTTAAATATTCATTGTCAAAAATGACTTTAGTGGGGCAAATCAAAGCTGCATGGAAAATTATGTCGCAACATACCAGCCTTGTGTTGTGGGAAACACCAGCTGATGCTGGTCGGGGTCTATTACACTTTGATGGCACACAGGGTATGGTGTTGGCAAACCGTGAAACATTACTATGTCAAATCTTGGATTCAAACCCTTGATCAGTGTTTTTTTCTGGCACTCCAAAAGAAAACAACTCGGTTATGAAACCAGTAGGGATGTCACGATACTTTCATGAATCGATACGTATCACGATACCCATGTCACGATTCGATACGTACTACGATACCTATTTTCGCGGCATTATTGCGTAAATTTAGTTACATTTGGATCATTAATATTTCATATTTTATAATTGTCCATGAAAAGATCAACATTTTTTATTCTCACAGATTAAAAAGTTCTAATTTCCCATCTTTGTGCATGGGAATAATAAATAATCATTTATAACTCTCATAACATCAAAACTAAATATCGATACAGTTTTGAATGTATCGATAATTGTATCATCTTACATCTTAGAAAAAGCCTCGATATATCGATGTATCGTGGCATCCCTAGAAACCAGCAAAGATGGTCTTTATCTTGGACTTGAAACCTCCATCAGCAAATCCAAGCCTTTTTTTCATAACCTTCTTCTACATATGTATCATGTATACGTTATGATGGTATTTAATCTCTAATGGCACATAGCGTGATTACTTTATCGATGTGAAAATTATTTCCATTATGATGTAGACGACTAGTGAAAAAACGGTCGCCCTTGTTCACAAAACAAGATACTGTCCCAAGAACACCACAACACATCTTTAGTAACCAAGACAGATGTACTCGCCTGGAAGACTAAGCAATCCACAACTTACTGAGGAGACAAACCCAACAAGAACAACACAGCTCAGGACAGGGTATTTGGTTACTTCTTCGCAGCTCATCAACGTCAATAACATAACTATCTAAACCACAAATCATCTGGAAGTATGAAAGAATCCGCTGTCCTTTAGTTCTTTTGAGTAGTATATATTCCCTAACCATAGACAAGAAAAACATGCGTCTTGGAGACCCTGACGCCCGATGATCACATTCATGCAGGACTTCGACCAAGGTAAGTGATCTCGTAAAGGATCAATAAGTACGTTATCTAATTTCAAATGACAGCCGTGTTAGATATTCGTCTGTTTCAGCAGGCTTGTTCATGGCAGTACGTGTAGTTTCATGGTTGTTTCGACAGGCTCAAATAGCTCAATTGTCTGAATGATAATAAGAATAACAATAGGAAGAAGAATATATAAATCACTGGAATAGGCCCGAACACGGCATAAGACCAAGGAAGACAAACCCGATCTCGATGTCGTTTATAGATCTATTTAAATCATTGGTATCAATGAATTCAGTGTCGTGATTAACACGAATACGACTGACAAATGCAAGATTCAGGAAAAGTATGGCAAATGTGTGCACCTAGCTGACGAAATGTCACGATTGCATCCCAAGTACAATTTTGCACCTCTCTCCATTGTTCTTGGTGCCTTAGGTTTGGTAGCTGCCAATCTATTGACCTTCTTTGGGAGAGTACCTGTTTTTCAATAAGGAACACAGCACTTCTGACAACCTGGGTAATACAATGGCTTCAGTTTTGGGGGAGTCTTCACATTCTCAGAAAAGTTCTTGGTGGGTTTAACTAAGCAGCGCGTTCGTGGAAAGGTCCCCTTTGTTGTCTGGGTTGCGAGTAAAAGGGGGACACCAGGTGTTCGCGAAAAGGATAATCATGTCCTGCCTACCGGTATTGCCCGCTAATCAAACAATTTGCATAAAAATGAACAAATCAAACGTTCCATCTATTGACTGTAATGGCGACGCTAACGCTTAATAACATCACAATGGTGAGATCAAATGTACGTCGCCTACCTACACACTGGCGGTATTTCCTGATCAGCAAAACTTGACTAACCTATAGTTTTACAGCAGAAATACATCTTATTGTACTTAACGTTGAGAATTTTTGGCAACACTTAATAACAATGCGTAGTTCAGTGATTTCATAAAGCTTTCGTACAGGTAAGGATGCAAACCTTTAAAGTATATTTAAAAAATCAGGTCCACATGGCTTATCGCTGCCAAGCGCCCTATTTCTTCAAGGTTGAATGTGACATTGTAGCAACCTTGTCGCGCTCTGAACAACACTTAGTATTATATGTACTTATATTTGCATATGACAAGAGACATTATTCCGTGCATATAATCCCAATATGGAAAATTACATGTTAAAAATACATGTGTACATGTGTATTTGTAATATAGACAATATTGACCAGGTTACTTCACCTGACACAGAGGTTTCTCTCTAAACACAAATCCCATCACCTTCAAATCTCACACTATCCATATCAGCAAAGGGGAGCGGAAACTCCATATCTCGAAGTCGGATAAGTCGATCGGTAATTGAGTAAATTCACCTAAAACACGCAATATTTCAGCCATATTGTGACGACAGTCTTAAAATGAATATTAGTAGTGCAGTAAACAAAAATCAAAAAAAAATTTGATATTTATTAATTTTTGTGTCATTTGGACATTTGAAATGGTGTACTCAAAAAGTCGAGTTGTTGTAGATATACCACTGTCTTTAAATACTGTTATAGCCTCCTTCAGAGCTCCGGTGGTACAATTACACATTCAGTCTGCATGAGTGGTCTCGCGAGCATCCATTGGAGATCTTTCAACAAGTACAAGTACAAAAAACCTCCAGGTAAAACAAGAGGTGATCGGGATTGATGTGAGCTAATGTTTATCTTTACGAAACAGGACAAGAAACTATATATATATAAACAGTGCTTAAACAGAGCTACATCAAGTGTTCACATGTGCTGATCCTGCGGAAGTTCGTCAGTTTGAATACAATAAATACCTGCTGGTAAACGTCTCCAGCCGTACAGTGTATGTTGTTGAGTTGCATATAAAACAAGAATTACACTCATGACCGGGAATAAGTAAAAAGTGAAGCTTATATACATTCCGAGCTTTAACACAGGTGGAGAAGCAGGAAGAGGGCACAGAAATACTTGCGAGAACAATCGAGCTTTGTTCTCCCAAATTTACCTATATACCCTGAAGCAGTACTGTCACTCAAACTGTCACACCGCGTGTCACTCCACGCCCTAGCATGGCCATCGCAAGGAAGAGGAAGAGTCAGCAGAGGTGAATAACCAGGGTACATAATATATATTTGTTGCAAAACTTCCGGCAGGAAAACGCCTGTGAAGGGTAACAATGTGTCGAAATACAAAATTATAGAAGATCGGGGTGGTGAAAATTGGGACGAGGGCGGTTCGGGTTGTGTAAAAATAACACATCGAAAGGAGAGGGACATTAACATGTATGGGTATAGGGGGCGATGTCATGGAAAACGTTACGTGTATAGAGGAAGAGCGGGTGGACAACAATATGTAATAGTCTTAACAATCTCATCACCTTACGACTCCACACACGCAAACCTCACCCATTCCCACCGGGTTGAGATACTAAAGGGTAGGATGGCCATTCATCCCAGGAAGAATATGTACGATGGGGAATTCCTTTCAGCTTGCATAAACATCATATGAACATGTGAGATACTAGTATTGACTAAGATAGTGTATTAACATCATGTTGGTTGGAAACCTTGCCCTCGAAGGCAACGTTCAGATGATAACATAAAAGAGATGTTCAAATAATTCTGATGAATGCTCACGAAGTTTTCACATGTTGCTCACGCAGTGTCCTTCACAAAGTTCCATTCACAGATATATGTACTTCATTCAGCTATGTAATTCCGAAGAATCGCTCTTCAATTAGGTCATGTTTTACCCGGTTTATTCCACAACGTTGCCTTAGTTCGTCGAGTCATTTCAGAGTAATCACTCCTTTGTAAAGTCGTCTGAGAGTATTTGCTCCTTTGTTTGTAAAGTCCTCTGGTAATCGCTCCTTTGTTTGTAAAGCCCTTTGATAATCACTCCTTTGTTTGTAAAGCCCTCTGAGACTATTCGCTCCTTTGTTTGTAAAGTCCTCTGGTAATCGCTCCTGTGTTTGTCAACTCCTCACAGAGTATTCTTTCTTTATTTTGTCATGTCACAGAGAGCATTCGGTTTTAGCTTGCCAAATCCTTACATAGTATTCGTTCTTAATTGTTTAGGCCATTGAGTCTCGTTAGTAAATTGTCAAGTCCTTACAGAGTATTTGCTGCTTTGTCAAATCCTCACATAATATTCTTTCTTAATTTGTCAAGTAATCTAGAGTACTGGATTTTAGTTTGTCAAGTCCTTATAGAGTATTCGTTCCTTTGTAAATCCTCACACAGTATTATTTCCTCATTTGTCAAGTCATTGAGAGTACTTGTTTTCAGTTTGTCAAGTGCTTTTCGAGTATTCGCTCCTTTTTTAATCCATGCGCATGTTATCCTGTGTGACTAGCTTTAATCTGTGCACAGATGACAGAGACACTTTCGCGGCAGTCTGTGCAGTACGTGTTCCGCATAGCCAACAGATACTACCAGAGATCTGTTGGTGTCACATGAATATGAGAACTGTTCCACGAACGCCCAGATCTGGTACTAACTGTGCATACTATTGCTTGAGAAACAATATGTAATTATTTTATTGTCTGTATACTATGATGCCCTTGTACTCCTCACACTGGAGAAAATAAAAATATGTAAGTCATTGAGAGGACTGAAAGTTAGTTTGTCAATCCTTGTAGAGTATTCGCTGCTTTGTAAAATCCTCACAGAGTATTCTTTCTTAATTTGTCAAGTCATTGAGAGTACTGAATGTTAGTTTGTCAATCCTTGTAGAGTATTCGCTGCTTTGTAAAATCCTCACAGAGTATTCTTTCTTAATTTGTCAAGTCATTGAGAGTACTGAATGTTAGTTTGTCAATCCTTGTAGAGTATTCGCTGCTTTGTAAAATCCTCACAGAGTATTCTTTCTTAATTTGTCAAGTAATTGAGAGTACTTGTTTTTAGTTTGTCAAGTCGTTTTCGAGTATTCGCTCCTTTGTAAATCCTCAAAGAGTATTCGTTCTGTTCTTGTCAAGTCATTGAGAGTACATGTTTTTAGTTTGTCAAGTCCTTATAGAGTATTCCTTCCTTTGTCAAATCCTCACAGAGTATTCTTTCTTTATTTGTCAAGTCATTGAGAGTACTTGTTTTTAGTTTGTCAAGTCCTTTTCGAGTATTCGCTCCTTAGTAAATCCTCAAAGAGTATTCGTTCTTTTCTTGTCAAGTCATTGAGAGTACTTGTTTTAATTTGTCAAGTCCTCATAGAGTATTCGCTTCTTTGTAAATCCTCAAAGAGTACTGTTTCTTATTTTGACAAGTCATTGACAGCACATGTTTTTACTTTGTCAAATCCTTACATATTACTCTTTCTTAATTTGTCAAGTCATTGTCGCTCTTTAGTTTGTCATGTCCGTACACAGTGTTTGTTCTTAGTTTGTCAGGAGTCAATATGTTTTGATTCCACAGATCACACAAAGGCAATTGTGTTTTGTTTAAACAGTCATCTTGTCATGATTTCTTCCGCCTACACAGGGGGTCTTGGCAGATAATTACAATTTTTCCAGTTCCTCTTGGTCCATGAGTTTCTTGTTTGCGGGGTTAGACGAGATGGTGTCTTCAAGCGGGGAGTCTTTGGTCTCGCGGAGCAGGGCGGCGACTAAAATACAGATTGCCATTGTGACACTGACCACGATGAATGGCATCAGGACACCCTTCCCGCCCTGCAACACAACATCCTTACTTGAAACATGGTGTACGTGAAGCACAGGACATGAGAGAGGAACTAGCTTGAGGAAGAGAAAAGGAAAAGAGGGATATGAAAAGATATAGAAAGAGTGAGATGGCAGACAGGAAGAGAGAAATGGGGAACAAAAACGAGAGACAAACTTGGGTGAAAGAGAAAAATGAGCTATACATATTGTACCGATGAGGGGAATCGAACCCAGGTCTTCGAGGAGACAAGCAAACGCTTTAATCACTAGGCCACCCCAACGTCCATAACAAGATATACTGAGGGAGAACTAGAGAGAAATGGAGGAAGACAAAAGATGGAGAGGCAATTACAGTTGGCGAGGAAGAGGCAATGGAGGGAGAGGAAGAGCGAACGTGAAGTAAAAGAGTATGAAAGAGAGAGATGAAGAGTGAGTTTAGTTTTACGCTGCTTTAAACAATATTCCAGCAATATCACGGCTGTGGACACCAGAAATTGGCTTCACACATTGTGCCCATGTGGGGGGATCGCGTGACGAGCGAATGCCTTAAACACTAGGCTACCCCACTGCCCCAGAGAGAGATGAAGAGGGGAATGAAAAGAGAGGAAAATGAGAAAAAAATGGTGGAACTGGAGAGATAAGAAAAACAGAAAGCGACCAAGAAACGAATAAGGATTTATTGTTAGCATTACGTGAAAAAAAATAGTGGGTACATTAAATTGGCAAATGGTCGTTATCTCAGTAATACTATAACGCACAGTGAACACTGATCAAAGCTCACCAGAGTAAAGATGAATGGTGCGATGATGGCGCCAATACGAGATGACATTCCAGCCGCGCCGTAACCAAGATTCCTGAAGTAAATTAACTTTATATTACATATATATGACATTGGAGGTCAAGGGTAACCCAATTTGGACATCACTCTATGAAGGATTATATTCTTGAATCTTTAGGAATGACAAGTCGTTTATGCATGATCAACTACTTTAATGTGCAATAGTGACGTTTCGGTATAGATACTTGTACGTTTTCAAGGATGAGGTTGTGAATGGATACAGCATATTATATATGCTAGCCCTCATGTACCATATATATATACTAATGTAGTGAATGGAGGTTGTGAATGGATACCTCATATTATATATGCTAGCCCTCATGTACCTTATATATATACTAATGTAGTGAATGGAGGTTGTGAATGGATACAGCATGTTATATATGCTAGCCCTCATGTACCATATATATACTAATGTAGTGAGTGGAGGTTGTGAATGGATACAACATGTTATATATGCTAGCCCTCATATACCATATATATATACTAATGTAGAGAATTGAGGTTGTGAATGGATACAGCATATTATATATGCTAGCCCTCATGTACCATATATATATATATATATATATATATATATATACTAATGTAGTGAATGGAGGTTGTGAATTAATACAGCATATTATATATGCTAGCCCTCATGTACCATATATATATATACTAATGTAGTGAATGGAGGTTGTGAATGGATACAGCATATTATATATGCTAGCCCTCATGTACCATACATATATATATATACTAATGTAGTGAATGGAGGTTGTGAATGGATACAGCATATTATATATGCTAGCCCTCATGTACCATACATATATATATACTAATGTAGTGAATGGAGGTTGTGAATGGATACAGCATGTTATATATGCTAGCACTCATGTACCATATATATATATATATATATATATATATATACTAATGTAGTGAATGGAGGTTGTGAATGAATACAGCATGTTATATATGCTAGCACTCATGTACCATATGTATATATATATATACTAATGTAGTGAATGGAGGTTGTGAATGAATGCAGCATGTTATATATGCTAGCACTCATGTACCATATGTATATATATATATACTAATGTAGTGAATGGAGGTTGTGAATGGATAAAGCATATTATATATGCTAGCCCTCATGTACCATATATATATACTAATGTAGTGAATGGAGGTTGTGAATGGATAAAGCATATTATATATGCTAGCCCTCATGTACCATATATATATACTAATGTAGTGAATGGAGGTTGTGAATGAATACAGCATATTATATATGCTAACCCTCGTGTATACATATATATATGCTAATGTAGTGAATGGAGGATGTGAATGGATACAGCTTGTTATATATGCTAGCCCTCATGTACCATATATATATATATATATATATATATATACTAATGTAGTGAATGGAGGTTGTGAATGGATACAGCATGTTATATATGCTAGCCCCCATGTACCATATATATATATACTAATGTAGTGAATGGAGGTTGTGAATGGATACAACATGTTATATATGCTAGCCCTCATGTACCTTATATATATACTAATGTACTATGTATGAAAAGGTGGTTCTAAAATCAACGAATACTCCTGAGAATATAACACACGATCGAAACAAGCAATTTGATTGGCTGGTCAGACTGTCAATAAAATGCCTGCTTTCCCGCACATGTGTTTGCTTCGAGAAAACATTTTGTGTTTGCGAAGGCTCAGTTCTCGTCGAATTCACGAACAAGGTTGGAAATATATAGCTTTATTGATATTTGTCACATCTACTCTTAGATGTATAGCCCTTCTATTCTGATGTCTGCATCGAAGTCGACATGTAGATCTTGAGTTTATCGTTTGAGTTCAACTCCTTGATTTTCAATATCATTTCGTAAAAGTGTTTTTAATCAATTCATGTAATATGTGTTTCATGCACAATCGTATGTTGGTCAAAGGCTGATAACTGCATTAAAATCTGTGTACCTCGGACTGCTGTCTAATTCGGACTTTTTAGTCGGTCCTAAGCCGGTCCGAATTAGACAGAGTACATATATATATATATGGTTCATAAGGGCTAGCAAAGAAAATCGAGACAAGTCGTTGATCATCCTTAAAGACTTGTCATTCCTATCACTTACAACTTCTAGAATGTCTCTCAAACAGTTCTTGAATCTCTGTTAAGTCATTACAACATCATGTTATTCTTGTTTAAGTTGAATCTGAGACAGGAATTCAAAAACACTTTTAATGCATTTTCAGGTATAACTGACTTAGGTACATGTCCGTATACAAAATATACATACCTATATGTAAATATACTCTCCTAAAAAAGAAACGCATCATGAAAATAGCAATTTCATGTAGCAATGAATTAAAACGCGATTCATTTTACAAAAGGTTTTGCTCTGTTTATGAGTCCCATGGTGTTTATGTTTTGAAACATCACAACAAAACGAACCATCCGTAAAATACCCGTATTTAACAGCATGATTTGCAATTTCGGCGTGTAGTGTCACAGGATACACAATTCACATACAATGCACGTGAAAGTTGGGGATCAGATAGTCTCAATGATGGGTATAAAAGGATGATCGCTGTCTGTCGATTATTCACTGTATTTGGAATATTGTTGACGAACGCAAAATGCCACGTCTAAGTGAAGCCAACCGTCATATCGCCATTGGTTTGCTTGAAGCTGGCCAGTATCAACGTGCAGTTGCCCGACGCATGAATGTTCACCAAAGCACCATTTCACGGCTCTGGGAGAGATATCGCCGGCAGAATGCGGTAGCAGATGCCCCTCGTAGTGGGCGACCTCGAGCGACCACTGCGGCGCAGGATCGCTACATCCGGGTACATCACCTGCGTCATCGAACAGTTACGGCGACCAGTACCGCTCGACAAATACCCGGATTGAGGAGGCTTTCTGCACAGACCGTCAGGAACAGGTTGAGAGAGGCTGGTTTACGTGCCAGAAGACCTTATTTTGGCTATGTGCTTCGACAACAACATCGTCGACATCGAGTTCAATGGTGCACCAACGTTCAGGCCTGGTACCTACCGAATTGTCGTAGAATCTGGTTCAGTGATGAATCACGATTTCTATTGGAACGACGCGATGGCAGAATGCGGGTGTACAGACGTCGACGTGAACGTTTCGCCGACGCTTGCGTTCCCCAGGTGGATAGATTCGGCCGGGGAAGTGTTATGATGTGGGGAGCGATCACCTGCCGTAGGAGAAGTGATTTGGTGATGATCCAGGGCAACCTGACAGCTCAACGGTACTGTGACCAAATCCAATCCTTCCAATCATTGATCGCCAGAGGGAGTTGTTTAAACAGGACAATGCCAGGCCCCATACAGCACGTCACACTAGAGACTTCCTCCAGAACCACAACATCAATGTGCTCCCCTGGCCCTCAAGATCACCGGACTTAAACCCGATCGAACATATGTGGGATGCCCTGGACAGACGGGTGCGACGCCGTAACCCTCAGCCCCAGACACTTCAGCAACTCGCACAGGCACTACAGGCAGAGTGGGCTGCGATTGGGAAACACGAGAATCTGAGACTTATTCGTTCGATGCCGAGGCGATGCCGTGCAGTTCTGGATACCCACGGTGGTCACACGAGGTATTGACTTCAGCGCCACCACACGTCTCCATTTGACACTCAAACTGACTTTCCTCGAGTTGGTGCCAAAGACGGATAAGTCTGCATTCCCACTGTGCAATTTCGCTATATATCATTGACTCATAAAGCCTACAAGATGTTTCAAAATAAACATAAAAATACAGTTGAAATTCCTATATGCGTTTCTTTTTTGGGAGAGTATATATACAAACCAATTTTGTATCTACCATAAGGTGGTTTAAGGAAGAGAAATCAGAGTAAACAGATGTTCATAAGTTATCCATTACTGAGTCCATATATTTTCCAGGAACATATTGTGATATATATAATAATACGATAAACGTCCTTGGCATCAACATATATTTCATGTAATGTGACTGAAGCAATTAATTTCATGTCATTTGAACGGCAAATCAGTATTGATGAAATTAATTGCTTCGGTCCAAAGATTAAATGATATATATGTTGATATATCAGGCAGAAGGCAGTACATAGCATCATGATGATCTTAGTGAAATAATCATTTCGAAACAGCTGGTTTGCCGTTCATTTAAGATGAAATTAATTGCTTCGGAAGTTCGGTCCAAACATTAAATGGTATATATGTTGATGCAAGGACGTTTTATCGTTTTATCATATAAATCACACCCATTTCCTTACATATGGCTATGGACTACAATTCCGCTATGGACTTACATATGGCTATGGACTACAATTCGGCTATGGACTTGCATATGGCTATGGACTACAATTCGGCTATGGACTTACATATGGCTATGGACTACAATTCGGCTATGGACTTGCATATGGCTATTGACTTACATATGGCTATGGACTGGCATTCGGCTATGTGCTTGCACGTGACTATGTATTTACATTTGGCTATGGACCTACACGTTGTTACATACTTACATTCGGCTATGTATTTACACGTGGCCATGCACTTACACGTTCCTATGTGAGTGAGTGAGTGAGTTTAGTTTTGCGCCGCTTTTAGCAATCTTCCAGCAATGTCACGGTGGGGACACCAGAAATGAGCTTCACACATTGTACTCATATGGGGAATCGAACCCGGGTCTTCTGCGTGACGAGCAAACGCTTTAACAACTAGGCTGCCCCCCTACACGTGGCTCTGTATGTACCTGCCAGTGACGATATCTCTACACGTGGCTACCTACCTACGCGTTGGTATGTACTTACACGTGGCTATGTACCATACGTGGCTATGTACTTATACGTGGCTGTGTACTGACACGTGGCTACCTACCCACACGTGGCTCTGCACCACACCTGGCTATGTACTTCCACGTGGCTGTGTGTATTACACGTGGCTACCTACCTACACGTGGCTATATACTTACACGTGGCTGTGTGTATTACATGTGGCTACCTACCTACACGTGGCTATGTACTTACACGTGGCTGTGTGTATTACACGTGGCTACCTACCTACACGTGGCTATGTACTTCCACGTGGCTGTGTGTATTACACGTATACACGTGGCTACCTACACGTGGCTATGTACTTCCACGTGGCTGTGTGTATTACACGTGGCTACCTACCTATACGTGGCTATGTACTTACACGTGGCTGTGCGTATTACACGTGGCTCTGCACCACACCTGGCTATGTACTTCCACGTGGCTGTGTGTATTACACGTGGCTACCTACCTACACTTGGCTATGTACTTACACGTGGCTGTGTGTATTACACGTGGCTACCTACCTACACTTGGCTATGTACTTACACGTGGCTGTGTGTATTACAGGTGGCTACCTACCTACACGTGGCTATGTACTTCCACGTGGCTGTGTGTATTACACGTGGCTACCTACCTACACGTGGCTATGTACTTACACGTGGCTGTGTGTATTACACGTGGCTACCTACCTACACGTGGCTATGTACTTACACGTGGCTATGTACCACACGTGGCTATGTATTTACACGTGGCTGTGTGTATTACACGTGGCTACCTACCTACACGTGGCAATGTACATTAATGAAGGGAAATGCACGTACCTGATAACAGTTGGGTAAGATTCGCTACTGAGGACCTGGAATGCAGTCCACCCGGAACCTACCCCTACTTTAGCCACCATTGCCAGGGTGGTGATGATTACTCCTCGGTTTTCCAGGGGTGCTGTGGAATAAAGAAAGACACATCACAAGTATACCAAATGGTCTGATTCAGAACCTTGTTGGTCCATCATCAAATTTGTAAACGGGACGTCCAAAACTTGCCATCGTAACCTTGTCCGTATTAAACAGGTTCCACTATATCCGGGGATTTTTGTGAACTGTTTCACTCGATATTTTGAGATGATGCTCGTTTAAACAATGCAGTGGTTCAGCTAGCCATCTCATGAAGCGATCTCAGCTACGAACATCCCAATTCCTGGGTGGAACTTTCGATGCTCGTAGCTCTAGATTACATTGTTGGACACGATACTTTGGGTTCTACGCACATAAAGATTCAACAGGGATATATTATATTTATCTATAAACAGGTCTGGTTCTCTCAGTGGGGGAGCTGGGATTATTATAATACTTTTATTTCTGGGGACATGATTTAGGATTTAATTTGCAATGCTTCTAAACTATGCAGTAAGTTGCAGGAAGCTCGCAGCATTCTCTGCTATAGCAACCCATACACATCCCTTAAGCCCCCATACCATCAATTTTACATCCCCCGTACATAATAGAAGAGTAAGAGTAAGAGATGAAAATTCTTCAGTTCAACATTCCCCAACCTGTCCCAGTCCTCCATAATTATCCCTTTTTAGAACTGGGCAGGAAACTCTTTTGTAGACTTATACAAAATTCACGACAATGTAACGGTTGAAAACAGCTTCCTTTCTTCATTGATGTACATGTACAGAGTTTAGCTCTTACTCACTCACTCGCTAAATTCACGCACGCACGCACGCACGCACGCACGCACGCACGCACGCACGAACGCACTCAATCACTCACAATCATGAAGAGTTTGACCAACTGGGTCCCCCTACTATCACAAAGTAAATCAAGAGTAAGTTTATGACGTCACAATGCGCAGTGTGTATGTGATTCCTTTCATGCACGAATAGAGACGATTAGCAACAAGAACTGATAACTAATGATGGTAACGAAAGGAAAATAACAAAAATAACCTATTACGGTGTTAATATCACTGTTAACAACCCAAAAATAAATATAAAAATATAAAAAATTAGAAAGTTGATAAATGACTGAATCATTTTGTTCTTGTCCTATTTAGTTAAAACTTCGTGAAAAGCCTGACTCCTACATCTTTTAACTTCACAATCAATATAACTGTCACGCGTGCCCCGCGAGCGACAAAATACAAACCATGAATGGACGCTATAATGACGCTAAGGGCGCCGAAGAGTCCTAACACCAAATAGCCCAAACATGTATACTTCCGGCCGAACCTGAAACAACAAGTATGCGCATGTCCAAATTATTTACTACTTCCGGACCACGTCAACTGCTAGGTTCGATTTCCGGGTGGAGGGTTGAATGTCTGGAACAAAGCGGGACATATGTGGCACCGAGGTGAACATTAAATATTTACGACTAAAACAGGCTTTCAGGAAACTAAGCAACATAATATATTGGTACTTTTTGTAAAGACGAATGAAAAATCACGCCCGACTGTGCAGAATTGTTTTCACTGAAACGGAAGTATCGTTTTAACACGAAACATCAAATACCACGACGAAAATATCATTTCTGACACCCTTCCCCTCTATGGCATGCTGTACTTAGAGTCTGATATGGCTTTCATTAATCTGCAGCAAATGGGCTTCTGAAATAATCTGCAGTGGCAGATGCATTCAAGCCATAGCTATATACATATGTATATCTGTAATAATTACTAAAGGGTTTGTTTAATATATATTAAACTGTATACACATATTTTCTAAAGTGAAACTCTGTAAATAGGACCCGTGAAGATCCAGCTTGGGACTGGCCTTCAACAATCCATGCTTGTCGTTAGAGGCGACTAATGTGATCCTGTGGTCAAACTCGCTGACTTGGTTTATACATGTCATCGTATCCCAATTGCGGAGATAGATGCTCATGATGCTGATCACTGGATTGTCTGGTCGAGACTCGATTAGTTACAGAGAACCGCCACATAGCATGAATATTGTTGAGTGCGGTGTTAAACAAAAACAACGATAGCAAATAGAAACATTTGTAAATAGGTTCAGAATTGGAATTTAAATGTATTGCTGTAAGGCTTTGTGTAAACATTGTGTATTATAATGCGACTTCACAACAGAAAATAATATATCCAAACTAAAAAAGTGTTTGTAGTTATTTTAAAGGAGATAGTTGGTAAATTTGTGAATTATACAATCACTGAAACAATCGACAGTAAACACAAACAAAACTGTTCACTCGCGTTAACTATCACGTGGCTATCATGCTATAATCATTGTTTTTCATTCTGCACTCAGATAGCATAGCAAGTGGTTATCACGCAATAGTCTAACTAAAGGGCGCAAGATAACGCAATGACACTCTCACATCATAGCTACTTGGTATCTTCAGAAAAGTGCATTAAAGTAACGCAATCAGTATCAGGTTACATAATGCACGATAGCCACCTCCTATTTGCAGTTCGCAATACAAATAAACTATAACATAATAACCGCTTCTTTAGTTTATACTATAATACAATAAGACAACAACAGCCACTGTTTTACTTTATTGTAAAATGTTGCACAGTGAGACTAAAACATTATCATTCTGGTAAGTCTATGGTGTAATTACATTGATCACTGTGTTGAGGTCATTGTGACACTGTCAAAAGACAATGACCACTGTGTTCAGGACATAAGGATACTACATAGGGACAATGATCTCTGTGTTCAGGGCATAAGGATACTATACAAGGACAATGATAAATGTGATCAGGGCATAAGGATATTATACAGGGACAATGATCTCTGTGTTCAGGACATAAGGATACTATACAAGGACAATGATAAATGTGTTCATGGCATAAGGATACTATACAGGGACAATGATCTCTGTGTTCAGGGCATAAGGATACTATACAAGGACAATGATCTCTGTGTTCAGGGCATAAGGATATTATACAGGGACAATGATCTCTGTGTTCAGGACATATGGATACTATCAAGGACAATAATCTCTGTGTTCAGGACATAAGGACACTATCAAGGACAATGATCTCTCTTTGTTCAGGACATAAGGATACTACCTAGGGATAATGATCTCTGTGTTCAGGACATAAGGATACTATCCAGGGACAATGATCTATGTGTTCAGGACATAAGGATACTATCAAGGACAATGATCTCTGTGTTCAGGACATACGGATACTATCAAGGACAATGATCTCTGTGTTCAGGGCATAAGGATACTATCAAGGACAATGATCTCTGTGTTCAGGACATAAGGATAATATCAAGGACAATGATCTCTGTGTTCAGGACATAAGGATACTATCAAGGACAATGATCTCTGTGTTCAGGACATAAGGATACTATCAAGGACAATGATCTCTGTGTTCAGGGCAAAAGGATATTATCCAGGGACAATGATCTCTGTGTTCAGGGCATAAGGATACTATCCAGGGACAATGATCTCTGTGTTCAGGACATAGGGATACTATACAGTGACAATGATAAATGTGTTGTTCAGGATACTATACAGGATGATCTCTGTGTGTTCAGGGCATAAGGATACTATACAGGGACAATGATCTCTATGTTCAGGGCATAAGGGTTTTATCCAGGGACAATGATCTCTGTGTTTAGGGCATAATGATACTACCAAGGACAATGAACTCTGTGTTCAGGACATAAGGATACTACATAAGGACAATGATCTCTGTGTTCAGGACATAAGGATACTACATAAGGACAATGATCTCTTTGTTCAGGGCATAAGGCTATCACCAGGGACAATGATCTCTGTGTTCGGGAAGTAAGGATATAATACAGGGACAATTATCTCTGTGTTCAGGACATAAGGATACTATCCAGGGACAATGATCTCTGTGTTCAGGAAATAAGGATATAATACAGGGACAATGATCTCTGTGTTCAGGGCATAAGGATACTATACAGGGACAATGATCTCTGTGTTCAGGACATAAGGATACTACATAGGGATAATGATCTCTGTGTTCAGGGCATAAGGATATTATCCAGGGGCAATGATCTCTGTGTTCAGGGCATAAGGATACTATACAAGGAGAATGCTCTCTGTGTTCAGGACATAAGGATACTACATAAGGACAATGATCTCTGTGTTCAGGGCATAAGGCTATCACCAGGGACAATGATCTCTGTGTTCGGGAAGTAAGGATATAATACAGGGACAATGATCTCTGTGTTCAGGGCATAAGGATACTATACAGGGACAATGATCTCTGTGTTCAGGGCATAAGGATACTATACAGGGACAATGATCTCTGTGTTCAGGGCATAAGGATAATATACAGGGACAATGATCTCTGTGTTCAGGGCATAAGGATACTATACAGGGACAATGATCTCTGTGTTCAGGGCATAAGGATACTATCCAGGGACAATGATCTCTGTGTTCAGGGCATAAGGATACTATACAGGGACAATGATCTCTGTGTTCAGGGCATAAGGATACTATCCAGGGACAATGATCTCTGTGTTCAGGACATAGGGATACTATACAGTGACAATGATCTCTGTGTTCAGGGCATAAGGATACTATACAGGGACAATGATCTCTATGTTCAGGGCATAAGGGTTTTATCCAGGGACAATGATCTCTGTGTTTAGGGCATAATGATACTACCAAGGACAATGATCTCTGTGTTCAGGACATTAGGATACTACATAAGGACAATGCTCTCTGTGTTCAGGGCATAAGGATACTATACAGGGACAATGATCTCTGTGTTCAGGGCATAAGGATACTAGACAAAGGACAATGCTCTCTGTGTTCAGGACATAAGGATATTATCCAGGGACAATGATCCCTGTGTTCAGGGCATAAGGATACTATACAAGGACAATGCTCTCTATGTTCAGGACATAAGGATACTACATAAGGACAATGATCTCTGTGTTCAGGCCATAAGGCTATCACCAGGGACAATGATCTCTGTGTTCGGGAAGTAAGGATATAATACAGGGACAATGATCTCTGTGTTCAGGGCATAAGGATACTATACAGGGACAATGATCTCTGTGTTCAGGGCATAAGGATACTATACAGGGACAATGATCTCTGTGTTTAGGACATAAGGATACTACATAGGGATAAAGATCTCTGTGTTCAGGGAAGTAAAGATACTACATGGGGATAAAGATATCTGTGTTCAGGACATAAGATACTACATAGGGATAAAGATCTCTGTGTTCAGGGCATAAGGATACTATCCTGGGACAATGATCTCTGTGTTCAGGAAATAAGGATATAATACAGGGACAACGATCTCTGTGTTCACGGTGTAGGGATACTATCAAGGACAATGATCTCAGTGCTCAGGACATAAGGATATTATACAGGGACAATGATCTCTGTGTTCAGGGCAAAAGGATATTATCCAGGGACAATGATCTCTGTGTTCAGGGCATAAGGATACTATACATTGGGATTCTGTACGAGGACAATGATCATTGTGTTCATATCACAATGATCCTCTGCCTGGCACAAACTTGATTATTTACAATTATGTGGCACTAAAATATTCCCCGAAACAACATCCAGTCATGCATACCCTGTGATGGTGAATGTATCTTCATAACTATATGTATATCTTAGTATAAAAAGTATCCTATATGTATAAAAAACAGAACTATTAACAGTGGAGGGAAAATCAATAACCATTTAATCTTTAGTAACTCAAATTTAAGAATTCATTTTTTCTTATCCACATTCATGTTGGCACATATTTAGCATTCTGAAAAAGATATTTATGGGGTAATGCATCAAGAATCAATCTGAAAAAACAAGTTTTCTGAATAAGACCATACAACTAGAAATACTTTGGCATGCCTTTCTATTTCTATCATTCTTGAATAAAAATGCCAACAATATTACCACCCCGGTCACTTCTACACTGATGGTACTGTTAGCACGTGTATCCTAAAACTTAAACCACCCTGATCACATGTACCCTAAAGCATAAGAACACCCCCACCCCCGTCACATGTACCCTTAAACGTAAACAGTGATCACATATACCCTAGAGCAAAAACAACCCCATTCACATGTACTAGTACCCTGAAACAAAACAATCCTCCCACACACACACCCCCACCCCCACACCCCCACCCCCATACCACTTGTACCCTAAAACATCAACCCCGTTCACATGTATCCTAAAACATAAACAGCAGTGATCACATGTACCCTTGAGCAAAACCTGCCCCATTCACATGTCGCTAAACCGTTAACCACCCCGATCACATGTACTCTAAAACATAAACCACCCGCTGTTACAGGTCATTGGCTCCCTCCCTCTGCAAGCAGTTTGCGTTCTGCAGTTTATTTTGTTGACAGTTACATAGACAGATTCTGTAATACAAATGCATAAAATTGGTGATTTACAATGTGATTAGGTTGTCTGACAAAACATCCACTTGCACAGTTTGAGATCGATTGGGTCATTGGATGAAGAGATGTTTACAAAAAAAACGGATCCACATGCATTTCATGCCAAACTATTAAACAGTTGAGTCCGGGAAAGAACTGGGCGTGAAACCAACAAATTACAAAGATGGGACGTAATGATGGTCAGCTAATCTCTCTGAACACGATCATCATCCTGTTTGTGCGTTTCAAGTGAGGCCAAAGTCCGATCCCATCAAGATAACAACGTCTTTGTCTTAAGCACCATTCAGGTACAGTAGGTCAACCACATGTGAATGATTTACTCTACTGACAGCTACTAGTACAAACCTCTCTGTGAGTGAGTATGGTTTTACACCTCTGTTGGCAATGATCTATCAACATCACGGCAGGGAACTATGGAAAAGCTGTCCACACATTGATTCAATGTGGGAATTGAGCTCGTTCGTTTGACGTGACGAGTGAACGCTTTTAGCAAGAAAGATAACGTTTTACGTACTTGTTATTGAGATAGAGTGTCGCGATGTCGGCAGGTATGTCCACGACGCTCAGGAGGAATATGTTGAGACAGAGGTTGCCAGACAGGGCGTCCACGCCAAACAGAATACCATAGTAGATCAACGCTAAGCATGCCCTGGGAACAAACGAAGTATTTCAAATACAACCCACAGAACCTTTTAAGTATTCATAAGAGAAATCTCTCCTAAAACAGATTTAAAAATAATGTCATATAAAAATAAGAAAACGGTTTCATGATTTTATGAATCGCGATGCAATAGTGATGATAACAAGACGTCACAAACGCATGCAAAGGCAAGACAATTGATCACCATCATTTTTGTCATTGGTATAAATATGGAAATGTCCTCCACATGTCTACCATAAAACGTTTTGAAAGCTGGTGAGGCTAGCTAATAGTAACTGCCCAGCAACACCAGTGTCTGATGGGCTGTCCAATACAAGAAATACTTAAGCTGGGTCCCGATCCACAAAGCGTTCGTAACGTTACGACCTGTCGTAAATCTATAGTTTACAAAAGGCTTACGAATGTCGTAGCGCTACGAACGCTTTGTGGATCGGGACCAAGGTTGCTTAAAGCAATCAGATATTTGTCAAATGCCAAGGCCAAAAATATCAAAACAGATTCAAATGGGTGTAAAGAAAACAAACGGTGAAAATCATATGAACATTACTGAAAATTAGTACTGACGCGAGGTGTCTACAAGACTAAGTCTTGTATAGACTACAATCTCTGTACTTACATTGAAAGAAATCTGGACGTATACTACGCATGTCAAATAATTTATTGCGTCAATGCGTCCGGATAAAACGGGGCGTGGGTTACTGGAAACATCATCAAAATGAATAGAGGATGCAGACAATACAACTGACTACAACTTTACCACTGAAACTGAATGAGGAGTGACATCCTGCACATCTTCGAGCCTCTGTAGATGTCTATATAGGTATATTTCTTGTCTAGGGCAAGTCTTCGCTCTTCATCCGCAACCAGTTTCAGAATACCCAAGGTGTGTTCCGGCTTGGGCCGCTTGTTGTACTGGCACACTTTCAGGACAACCGCTTCCGCCTCTTCTAAACGGTTCTTGACAGCCAGCCAACGAATACTCTCGGGGGTGTAGCTGTAGAGAAAAGAACATCGGTGAGTGTCATGTACAGGATTCTTGACCCTAAACCAGGGATTATTTTGAAGTAGCTATTGAAAATGGAACATGGGTGATTGTCCTCTATTCGGTCTTTGAAAGCAAACCACGAATACCCTTATGGAGAAAAGAAGGTTGAATGTCCTGTACGGTTCTTGACAGCCAGCCAGCAGAATCTCTAAAGTAGCTTTTGAGAAAAGGACAACGGGAGTGTCCTGTATACAAATGTTAAGAGCACCAGCGAATATTTTCGGGTTTCTCGGATACATTCATGCAGCTGTGGAAACAACGCCACATATGAACATATTCTATACAGTTCTTGAAGGCTTCAGACACTTTTCTGCCGCTTTTAGCAATATTCCAGCAATATCACGGGTAAACCAGAAATGGGCTTCACACATTGTACCCATGTGGAGAAACGAACCGGGGTCTTTGGCGTGACGAGCGAACGCTTTAACCACTAGGCTACCCCACCGCCCCTCTTAAGACAAGACAAGGTAGCAGGGAGCCTATTCTGACGCAGACTCCCTAAGTGGAGACCCGCCTAGGTTGCTGTGCTAATCAAGAATTTATATTGGGCTAGTTTAAGTAGGCACAAAGCTATCCATAGTACAACGGTACTTACAACCATCCACACAGGAAGGGGATGTGGATGACGCCACAGATGATGTGAAGATTGGACCAATCAGGGGTCAGCCACGCAGTCAGGGCGAACAGACACACGCCCACTGACCAGAACGGCATCCCGGAGCAGAGTGACCGCCACTTCTTGCCGATGAACTCCATGTAGTAAGTGAAGCTGACCACGAGTAGAGCTCCGACTGCGATGCCCAGGATGAAGCTGAAGGAGAACGACGATCAGACACAATTTGGGGGTGTCGATCAAGACGGGGTGTATTGTAATGTCACGAAATTGGCCTTTGAATATTGAATAAAGATTGATAGATTGATAGAAAGTTGACTAGTTTGGCGTTTAACATAAACAAGTTTTACAAACGTTTTATAAAACATTTGCTGTTCCCGAATCAATTATTTCTCATTACGGTCTCATTCTCTGTCAAATTCTGACTCCCCATCAATACTCATGTTCTCACTCACATCTCACAATACTACACAGTACCCAGAATCGTTTCATCACTGGGGGCGTTTGGGTACCCTAGTGGTTAAAGTGTTGGTTTGTCACGCCGAAGACCCGGGTTCGAATCCCCACATGGGTACAATGTGTGAAGCCCATTTCTGGTGCCCCCGGCCGTGATGTTGCTGGAATATTGCTAAATGCGGCGTAAAACTCAACTCAGTCAGTCAGTCAGTTTCATCACTGATCATGTATTCCTGCACAGTAGTACAATTTGTGAAGCCCGTTTCTGGTGTCCCCCGCCGTGATATTGCTGGAATATTGCTAAAAACGGCGTAAAACCATACTCAGTCAGTCAGTCAGTCCTACTCAGTACCCTGAATCGTTTCATCACTCACTCACTCACTCACTCACTCACTCACTCACTCCACATAGCAACTCACCGGATTATTGCAAACATCTGCCATGACACAGAGAAGCCAGCAATGACGTTGGCGATGGCGTGGATGAGCATGAAGGCGAAGTGGGACTTCCGACGTCCGAACATCTCTGCGGACTGTCCACCAGCGAGTGCCCCAAAGAAAACCCCGCCCATCTGTATAGATGTGATGATGGGAGTGATCCACTTCCTGCTGCAGACCAGATCCCACTGGCAATGTAAGGACAAACGTATTGAATATAGCCTCTGTACATAGTGACAGGCAAAACGTTTCTGTACGGATGAATGGATAAACTGCTTCAAACATAGAATTTGAGAATGTAGTTAAGGGATTTGGCGTGAAACTGATCGTAGGTCTTAGAAAGGCGGAACTACATAGTTCAACATGTGTTTAAGTTCGTTCTCAAGAAGCTTTTGACAAAAGAACAGAATGAGCTTCCTGTAAACGTTCTTCACAACAAACCAGCGATTACTTTCGGGGATACTCGGATAGTCATAGTTTCACATACAGTCCGTTTGGCTGAAAAGCGGACCGATGAATTGCAATCTAACTCGAAGAGTGATAAACATAACATACTCAATGAAACGCTGATCATAATCAAAACATCATACCAACTCTGTGAGGTTTTTGCAGAACTTTTGTCCTAAAAATAATAAAGTTGTTTAACAAACTATCATTAAAATATTGACATAGTTCACTGTTTGTTATGAGGGAGGAGTGCAGTTATTTATTCATTAACCTGTGCTGTGCCGTCTCCATCCGTTCTCGAACACCTGACTGTCCCTTTCTCTGCACTCCTCCCTCGTAACAAATAGTGAACTGTGTCAATATTGTAATGATAGATTGATAAACAACTTTTTTAATTTTAGGACAGAAATTCTGCAAAAACCTCACAGAGTGGGTATGATGTTTTGATTATGATCAGCGTTTCATTGAGTATGTTACGTTTATTAGTTTTCGACTTAGATTGCAATTCATCAGTCCGCTTTTGAGCCAAACGGACTATAGACATACGACTACGGTCGCTTCGTGTAAGGGGTCAGATAGTCTTTGATACAAAATAATCGCAGCTCTGTGAATAACACAGCTACCGTAGTTTAACATGGGCTTGTTGTAGCGCTACGATCGTCCATTGACGGTGTCCAATAGCCCGTTACAACACAGTAATTCCCGCTGTTCGAGGAACTGCCGTAGTATTCACCACTGTCAGTGGACTATGTGGTAGGGGGAATGTTTCGCATGACTTACAAATGTCGGTGCAAAGCCCCAGGTGCCCCATGAAAGTCAGTGTGACATTATATAATTTATACAATCACTAATCCATTGTTGAGATGATAAAGATTAATCATACGTGGCTTAGATATGATAACAAAATATTGGAGGTTAGGGGTACCTCCCCCTTCCCATGCAGGAGGCTCATCTAAATCCCTGGCTGAAAGAACTCAAGATATGGGCCTTGCCTGACATCTCTCTTGATAGTTTTAAGTCTTGGCTCAGCCCCCTCGCAAAAGGAGAACTCCATTGTCGGTGGTCCAAATGGCCCCCAGCACTCTCCATACTATTCCAATTGTCCACGTTCGATCAAATTATTGATATTTATTTCTTCATGAATATGATTTTCCTAGCGTGTGTGTGTATTGGATACATATCAATGATCTCTGTTAATGCGTTATACATGTACAAATCAGCCTGCAGCCAAACAATATAAACACTTTTTCATAATCCTGTTTTACACCAAATGGATTCTGTTTGCTAAATAGTATAGTCTCTCTTTGAAATAGAACTGATTTAAATACACAAAAGGTTGTTGTTTCGTCGAGGGGGGTGAGAGGGGACAGGGCTTATTGTATTTATTGCTTTAAGTATCAACGGTGCAGTGTGGTAACATTAATGATTGATGAATGGTGGCTTTGCTGTGTTGCGCAGGAACCTATGAGTGTGCGTTGTTCAAATCCCAGATTATGTCTAGGCATGACAGCACCATACCCATGCCCGTGCATGTTGTAAACACCTGAGAGGCACTTCAGGCTTTGTAGTTTGGAAGGACACGTCTAGTAAGGGAAAGTGTTGGTTGGTTTCTGTTTCCATGGTAAACTGGATTCTTTGGTGCTGGGCAATGAGGTGATCAAGTAGTTACCCCCCTGGTTTCCATTTATTTTCTTATCCCTTGTTAGATTGCCACCATTGTTACCTCATCAATCATGCCTGGATTAACATTCCCTGGCTTCCAATTCATCTACCAATTCAGTGCCAATTAACTACTGGTTTCCCTTGTTATCTCATTCTGTACATATATAGCTGTCTGTTTCCTAATTTCTTCATTCACCTGATGAATGAGTACGAATATACTTCGAAACGTCTTGTCCATCACAATAACGAAGTTGACATCCATTAAAAAGTCTTGATTCAAAGTGTCGTCGTCGCCCACAGCTAACACTCCGTGACGTTATCTGAATGTTGTTTAAGGTGTCGTCGAAGCCATCCAACTTAATAAATGTACAGCAAACATAGAGAGATTTTTAGACAATTCGGATGGGTGCGGGTAATTTCGTAATGTTGCGATGGGAAGGTCTCTCACACAGTGGTTGTGTGTAGAATCAGTGAAAGTATACGATCGCCATTGGTCAACATATATAGACAGCATTCATAACAGATATACATGCGAGCGGACATGGTTTGTATCTAGTATATTCAGGACAGTTGGGATGTGAGAAAGGAGGTCGGCACAGAAAGATAATGATTAGTATGTCTCTATTGTTTATGGCAATAAACCTCCAAAGTCATCAGCGTGCGATCACGTGAACCGTCATGGGGGTCAAGGTCGACGGTTTCAGAGATTTGGAGTGCACGAACGTGTGCCAGATATATTGACAGTCATCACCATGTGAACAGTATTCAAACATAATAGAACAAACTTGTGTCATAACCAGTAACAGAACACACATATGGGTACATTACAATCTGCAGGGTATATATGCCAGTAAGGTAGACGACAGGAGAGGATATGCCAGTAAGGTAGACGACAGGAGAGGATATGCCAGTAAGGTAGACGGCAGGAGAGGATATGCCAGTAACGTAGACGACAGGAGAGGATATGCCAGTAAGGTACACGACAGGATATATATGCCAGAAAGGTAGACGACAGGAGAGGATATGCCAGTAAGGTAGACGACAGGATATGTATGTCAGTAAGGTAGACGACAGGAGAGGATATACCAGTAAGGTAGACGACAGGAGGGGATATGCCAGTAAGGTAGACGACAGGAGAGGATATGCCAGTAAGGTAGACGACAGGAGAGGATATGCCAGTAAGGTAGACGACAGGAGAGGATATGCCAGTAACGTAGACGACAGGAGAGGATATGCCAGTAAGGTAGACGACAGGAGAGGATATGCCAGAAAGGTAGACGACAGGAGAGGATATGCCAGTATGGTAGACGACAGGATATGTATGTCAGTAAGGTAGACGACAGGAGAGGATATACCAGTAAGGTAGACGACAGGAGGGGATATGCCAGTAAGGTACACGACAGGAGAGGATATGCCAGTAAGGTAGACGACAGGAGAGGATATGCCAGTAAGGTAGACGACAGGAGAGGATATGCCAGTAACGTAGACGACAGGAGAGGATATGCCAGTAAGATAGACGACAGGAGAGGATATGCCAGAAAGGTAGACGGAAGGAGAGGATATGCCAGTATGGTAGACGACAGGATATGTATGTCAGTAAGGTAGACGACAGGAGAGGATATACCAGTAAGGTAGACGACAGGAGAGGATATGCCAGTAAGGTACACGACAGGAGAGGATATGCCAGTAAGGTAGACGACAGTGGAGGATATACCAGTAAGGTAGACGACAGGAGAGGATATGCCAGTAAGGTAGACGACAGGAGAGGATATGCCAGTAAGGTAGACGACAGAAGAGGATATACCAGTAAGGTAGACGACAGGAGAGGATATGCCAGTAAGGTAGACGACAGTGGAGGATATACCAGTAAGGTAGACGACAGGAGAGGATATGCCAGTAAGGTAGACGACAGGAGAGGATATACCAGTAAGGTAGACGACAGGAGGGGATATGCCAGTAAGGTACACGACAGGAGAGGATATGCCAGTAAGGTAGACGACAGGAGAGGATATGCCAGTAAGGTAGACGACAGGAGAGGATATGCCAGTAAGGTAGACGACAGGAGAGGATATGCCAGTAAGGTAGACGACAGGAGAGGATATGCCAGTAAGGTAGACGACAGGAGAGGATATGCCAGTAAGGTACACGACAGGAGAGGATATGCCAGTAAGGTAGACGACAGGAGAGGATATACCAGTAAGGTAGACGACAGGAGAGGATATGCCAGTAAGGTAGACGACAGGAGAGGATATACCAGTAAGGTAGACGACAGGAGGGAATATGCCAGTAAGGTAGACGACAGGAGAGGATATGCCAGTAAGGTAGACGACAGGAGAGGATATGCTAGTAAGGTAGACAACAGGAGAGGGTATGCCAGTAAGGTACACGACAGGAGAGGATATGCCAGTAAGGTACACGACAGGAGAGGATATGCCAGTAAGGTAGACGACAGTGGAGGATATGCCAGTAAGGTAGACGACAGGAGAGGATATGCCAGTAAGGTAGACGACAGGAGAGGATATACCAGTAAGGTAGACGACAGGAGGGGATATGCCAGTAAGGTACACGACAGGAGAGGATATGCCAGTAAGGTAGACGGCAGGAGAGGATATGCTAGTAAGGTAGACGACAGGAGAGGGTATGCCAGTAAGGTACACGACAGGAGAGGATATGCCAGTAAGGTAGACGACAGGAGAGGATATGCCAGTAAGGTAGACGACAGGAGAGGATACGCCAGTAAGGTAGACGGCAGGAAAGGATATGCCAGTAAGGTAGACGGCAGGAGAGGATATGCCAGTAAGGTAGACGACAGGAGAGGATATGCCAGTAAGGTAGACGGCAGGAGAGGATATGCCAGTAAGGTAGACGGCAGTAGGGGAGACGGTAGGAGGAATGGGACTGGACAGTATACAACAGCATGGGATCTGACTGGACAGTATACAACAGCATGGGATATGACAGCATGACATGTGGCAGGTACAGGACAGAACAAGACAAGTCCGGACGAAACTGGACAGCAGGTGAGGGTCATGTTAGTTGAGACATAAAAGCAAACCATAAAGTATTTCGAAAACAGAGAAACAGATGGGTGAAAAACTGGCAAATAAGCACATATGATCGTTTTTGTCATTTGACAAACTCACCTCGTTAACAATCGTGTTATAGGTATCACTATACTCGCGGCTGCAGGTGACGTTGTCGTCTTCGGTGTAGCACTTGTGAAACGTTGTGTTGTCGAAGCTGACATTGACATTTTGGGAATGATTATCCCCTTTAGACACGGGGAGGCACCACCAGTCTGGGATTGTTCCAGTGAAGGACATCACCAACATGCTCCAGCCTAGCAGACCACGTGGCCCGAGAACCGTGACCAGCATTATCTTCTGGAAGCGTCCGAACGTCCATATTTCCTCAATTATCTCCTCCACGTGCATGTTGAGGACGGTACAACCACGGAATGTCAGAGAGATGGTATGATGAAATGTTCGGGGGTCCCGGCCCTAGCCTTCTTGTCGGGAGCACTTTCTGTCACTTCAAGGAGTTTCAACCACGGTGCAGAACTATAGGCCTCAAAACATTGTCGTGACACCTTGCCTGGAAGAAAAATATGAATTGTAAATATAAAGCCACATCTATATTCAAAGTAAATACCTGCCAATAGCAGATTGAATATTATTCCGACAATTCCATTAACATATGTTTATGAATCACTATCAATTGGTGGTGATGAAAGTCATACTAGAAAGTATATGCTCGATACCTCAAGCGTCATGGAACATAAAATCTAATGAATGAAACTGAATGAATATTCCGCGACTGGTGGAAAGTTGAAGTCATCATTCTTGTCATATAAAGATCTGAAAGTTGAAGTCATCCTTCTTGTCAGATATAGATCTGAAAGTTGAAGTCATCCTTCTTGTCATATATAGATCTGAAAGTTGAAGTCATCCTTCTTGTCATATATAGATCTGAAAGTTGAAGTCATCCTTCTTGTCATATATAGATCTGAAAGTTGAAGTCATCCTTCTTGTCATATATAGATCTGAAAGTTGAAGTCATCCTTCTTGTCATATATAGATCTGAAAGTTGAAGTCATCCTTCTTGTCATATATAGATCTGAAAGTTGAAGTCATCCTTCTTGTCATATATAGATCTGAAAGTTGAAGTCATCCTTCTTGTCATATACAGATCTGAAAGTTGAAGTCATCCTTCTTGTCATATACAGATCTGAAAGTTGAAGTCATCCTTCTTGTCATATATAGATCTGAAAGTTGCACCGACACTAATTTCACACAGATCAGGCGGCCTCACGGTCCCATTTTCTTTATTTCGAGCTGTTAATCAATGGATGTCATTTCGCAGGATGATATAAGTAAGGTATGCGGTAAGATTTACTGCAAAATGGGATTTAACAACAAGAGTCATCAGAAGATGACAAATCCCCCCGGCCCCCCACATATTTGAAAGAACAAATCATCTGACGGTTACTAAAAGTCCAACTTGATTTTTTTTAGACTAAGTCCAAATCGTTTCCATGGAAATCATGAAAAAATATACATGCCAAAAATCAGTAAAAAGCAAAAGGCACCACTTCAAGATCTGTTTGATATATCTGCCAACTCTTGTCAAAAGATATTGAAAGTTTTTCGAGTTGTGCTCCGGAAACAAAGCCCATCCCTCCCTTTTGAGACTAAGTCCGAATCGGTTCCATGGAAACCGGGGGAAAAAATGCCCAAAACCTGCAAATAGCAAAAGGCACCACTTTGGGATCTGCCTCATATATCTTCCAAGTTTTGTTGAAAGTTATTGACTGTTTTTCGAGTTGTGCTCCGGAAACAAAGCCCACCCCTCAATTTACATTGCATGCCGGGGGGATAAAAAGGCACACGGCAGGACTGTATTACAAAGGTATACGGCAGGATAGGATATAATCATATGACAGTACGGGATGTAACAGTAAATAATACTGCAATTTACCTATTTGATGGCTATTGAGTGATAATGGATAAAAAGTTGCTTGTCGAAATTACTTTATTTGGACTTGATTGATTTCAATAAATATGCATAAAGAAATTTAACAGATAAGCAAGAAGGGGCTGCACCTATTGCCTGTGGGGATTCCTATACTTCAAGCATGGCTGTCTCACCCCACACTTTACAAAGACGAGGAAGTCGAGAATTTCAAATATTGTTTTCCCAAAAACATGGTAAGTTTCAGATGTCATTAGCTTTCATTTACGACAAATTACCTTGATCATTAATGTGAATAAATAGATCACATGATATCATAAACTATTGAAGAGAAGTCAAAGGCCACCCTGTGTGTAACAATATACTAAGTACCAAGTTGATATAGTATGTCAAGGTATACAACGACGTTGATTTAATGTGACAATACGAATGTTTCATGTTTTATTCGTAACAGATTGTGGGTAATTAGATATATGTAAGTCTCTAGCTTTCTACTTTATAGTGTCTGCAAAGTATGCCATAATACATATCTACAAGGTTCAAGATTAGTAAGCCATGGCATCACAACCTTTCCATATATATGTTGACAGCTTGTTTCTTTGTTAAATGGTCAGATAAGTGCATTCACTGCTGCCAACACTGGTCACTGGTCACCACTGGATGACAGTATCACTTTGATAAAAAATATAGACCTGGTAAAGTGCCACGAACATAGTGACAACTAGTGTTTGCTAGAACATCCCAAAGTCAAGAGAGCATCAAAGTCAGAAGAAATTACCAAGCCTGTCAGATTATTGTCACAATCACTGTCCGAAAATCACTCAGCCTGTAGAACATCAAATTGCCCAAGAAACATCACCTGCCTTCTTCGGAAATCGTAAATCCTGCCCAAACAACATAACTGAAGCGACAAAACCCTTTCCACATTTATAAAAAGTATCTGCCAAAAGCAGAGTCGATTGTACAATTGTCACTATGTCATGAGCAGATGGATTAACCAACCATGCCAAACCGATACCACCTACTGGCCTACCCCTGCCTAATAGATAAAAATTAAGTGTCATGGGTGGACACCGAGCAGATATTTGTTTCAGTAGTATTACAGCTGTATGATGTTGTTTGTAAACAAATCCGGTCATTCATAAGAAATCTCTGCCAAAAGCAGAGTTGATTGTACAAAGCCTGCCCAAACATCATTAAGCTTCTCCAGGCACCATAAAGCCTGCCCGAACATCATTAAGCTTCTCCAGACACCATAAAGCCTGCCCAAACATCATTAAGCTTCTCCAGACACCATAAAGCCTGCCCGAACATCATTAAGCTTCTCCAGACACCATAAAGCCTGCCCAAACATCATTAAGCTTCTCCAGACACCATAAAGCCTGCCCAAACATCATTAAGCTTCTCCAGACACCATAAAGCCTGCCCAAACATCATAAAGACACCTGCCTGCCCAAACCAAGGCTTCTCCACCATAAAGCCTGCCCAAGCATCATTAAGTTTCTCCAGACACCATAAAGCCTGTCCAAACATCATTAAGCTTCTCCAGGCACCATAAAGCCTGCCCAAACATCATCATTAAGCTTCTCCAGACACCATAAAGCCTGCCCAAACATCATTAAGCTTCTCCAGACACCATAAAACCTGCCCGAACATCATTAAGCTTCTCCAGACACCATAAAGCCTGCCCAAACATCATTAAAGCTTCTCCAGACACCATAAAGCCTGCCCGAACATCATTAAGCTTCTCCCACCATAAAGCCTGCCCAAACATCATTAAGCTTCTCCAGACACCATAAAGCCTGCCCAAACATCATTAAGCTTCTCCAGACACCATAAAGCCTGCCCAACATCATTAAGCTTCTCCAGACACCAGACACCAAAGCCTGCCCAAACATCATTAAGCTTCTCCAGACACCATAAAGCCTGCCCAAACATCATTAAGCTTCTCCAGACACCATAAAGCCTGCCCAAACATCATTAAGCTTCTCCAGACACCATAAAGCCTGCCCAAACATCATTAAGCTTCTCCAGACACCATAAAGCCTGCCCAAACATCATTAAGCTTCTCCAGACACCATAAAAAGCCTAAACATCATTAAGCTTCTCCAGACACCATAAAGCCTGCCCAAACATCATTAAGCTTCTCCAGACACCATAAAGCCTGCCCAAACATCATTAAGCTTCTCCAGACACCATAAAGCCTGCCCAAACATCATTAAGCTTCTCCAGACACCATAAAGCCTGCCCAAACATCATTAAGCTTCTCCAGACACCATAAAGCCTGCCCAAACATCATCAAGCTTCTCCAGACACCATAAAGCCTGTCCGAACATCATTAAGCTTCTCCAGACACCATAAAGCCTGCCCAAACATCATTAAGCTTCTCCAGACACCAGACACCATAAAGCCTGCCCAAACATCATTCAAGCTTCTCCAGACACCATAAAGCCTGTCCAAACATCATTAAGCTTCTCCAGACACCATAAAGCCTGCCCAAACATCATTAAGCTTCTCCAGACACCATAAAGCCTGCCCAAACATCATTAAGCTTCTCCAGACACCATAAAGCCTGTCCAAACATCATCCAGACATCATTAAGCTTCTCCAGACACCATAAAGCCTGCCCGAACATCATTAAGCTTCTCCAGACACCATAAAGCCTGTCCGAACATCATTAAGCTTCTCCAGACACCATAAAGCCTGTCCAAACATCATTAAGCTTCTCCAGACACCATAAAGCCTGCCCAAACATCATTAAGCTTCTCCAGACACCATAAAGCCTGTCCAAACAGTATTGAGCCCAGTCACACATCATTGACATCATCAAGCCTCTCAAAACATCATAAACCTTGTCTAAACAGCATTAAGCCGTTCAAACACCTATAAGCCTCTCCAAATATCATAAAGCCTGTTTGATAGTTTCAAACTGAATTCCTTTACTTACAGACATTTGGGTGGAGTCACTACTTCAACTTGGAAATCAACACGCAACGCTATTCATATCTTTCGACCATGAGATCCACTTAGAGGGGTACACAAAGTTTCTCTCTTGTAAAATATTCCAACAGTCAATTTGCTCAACCACAGCATTGTCTCGGTGTATTACTTGTGCTTTAGTGACGTCTCGGTGCATTACTTGTGCTTTACTGTGGTCTCGGTGCATTACTTGTGCTTTACTGTGGTCTCGGTGCATTACTTGTGGTTTGTTGTCGTTTCGGTGCATTACTTGTGCTTTACTGTCGTCTCGGTGCATTACTTGTGCTTTACTGTCGTCTCGGTGCATTACTTGTGTTTTGTTGTGGTCTTTGTGCATTACTTGTGCTTACTGTGGTCTCGGTGCATTACTTGTGCTTTATTGTCGTCTCGGTGCATTACTTGTGCTTTGTTGTCTTCTCGGTGCATTACTTGAGCTTTGTTGTCATCTCGGTGCATTACTTGTGCTTTGTTGTGGTCTCGGTGCATTACTTGTGCTTTATTGTCGTCTCGGTGCATTACTTGTGCTTTGTTGTCGTCTCGGTGCATTACTTGTGCTTTGTTGTCGTCTCGGTGCATTACTTGTGCTTTGTTGTCGTCTCGGTGGTGCTTGTGCTACTGTGCGGTTTGCTTTACTGTCGTCTCGG